ATTCACCCATCTCGCTGTGCTGACAAGCAACAGCTAAAATACCCTGCCTCTCTGGTCCATGGCCATGCCATCCTCCACCACAAAAGGATGCAGCTATTTCCAGCAGCTTGGCAAACACAGTGAGTATTTTCTGGGAAAACAAAGAAGGGTTGTCAAATCAAGAACAGTGGGTGATAAGAGTCACCATAGCTACACTGAGTTGCTAAGAAAGAGCAGCTTAGCTAAGCTCTGGATGAGGCTGCATTCCTCTCACTGCAGCTCACCCACCCCAGGCAGGAAGGAGCTTTTTTTCCTGCTCACACCTAGCCTAATGTGCATCCATACGGACTTACAGGATGGTTTCCCTGCCACAACCAACTGCTTGCCACACTGTGACATGAAGGATTTGTCTTCTAATCCTAGTGAGCAAGCACGGGCACATGCAAGTATCCAGTTGTGCCTGAACTGATGAGAGGCACTGATGAAGAGGACTGTAAATGCAAGCAGGAGGAAAAACAATACACACATTGGTTCTCTGCCAAACAAAAATCAGGATAGTTTACCCCACTGTTCTCAAAAAGTAGGGATCTACCTACACAGCTCTCTAATCAAGGCAAGTCCATGGGTCTGAGATGTGTCAAAACTAATGGACAATTGGGGTCCTGCTCTGGGAGTATAAAATTGAGGTTGTGCACAGTGCCACTCTCACAGGCCAAAGAAAATCTAAAGAGTGTTTAGTGGAGGGCAGGCTTTATGTAATAGCTACATTTTTAGTTAGTCAAGTTATTCTTAGGTTCATCACCAGACTGTTAGGGGAGGGAGAGGGGAAGTAAACAACCAGAGCAACTTCTAGGACAGGTGCCATTTCATTCCTGTAGCTGTCTAGCCATTTCTAGAAATGGCTTCTCCTTCTGCACACTCTACACTGACAAATGGCATGCAGCAATAAATAGCACAATGGGACAGTGTGACCGCTTGCCCCTTTATTTGGCTTCTTGGCTAGCAAACCTTCTAGATCAATGGGTGCTGTTGACACTGCTCCAAACTATTCCAGGATGCACTAGGTTACAAAGAAAAACCTGGCAAATGTTTCCCCAGACAAAACACTTAAGAAATATCCTCCACACACCCATCTCTTCCTATAGAAACTTAAATTCTGCAAAATCTATGATAAGAGTCCAGATCAACACATCTAACAGTGGATATAAACTTAGCCACCCACCAGAACATCTGACACTTTGCTGTACACACTAATTTTTATATATCATGCACACTCATTCATATATCACACACATACCACGTGCCTTCCCAAGACATAACCACTCACACATTCTTAGGTGGCTACTAGAGTCTAAAGCCTGAAAAAGAGCCACTCAGTCCCTTCTGGTACTGTACATACCATCTTCTTGAATCAAAGATTGAAGTGGTCATTTACCAAAACCTCTCATGGTGTCTGATCTGTTTGGGTTTTTTTTTTTTAAACTAGAACTTGTTCTAAGCAAACTTGGAGGCATATTCTGTGTTCACCAGGAGAGGTCACCACACACCTCAGTAACGACAAAGGCAGCCAACTCGAAGTAGAGGCTAGGTGGGGTCTCACTGGAGTGACCTTCTAGTTTTACTGGCAAAATCTCTCTCAGCACAAAACAATCAGGGATATGTAATGTCCATGCTGCCCAGGAACGGTTCTGTTCTTCCTCCTATCAGATGTTATGAATTGCAGAGTAATGTAGCAGCCTTTCTGCTTTCAGTTGCTTATTAGCTGCATTCTTCACTATAAAATTTTACAAACTGAGGCCTGGCCTAGCTCCCACTAAAAGTCCAATCTTTCTATAATAAGGCAATAATAGGTAGACCAATTAGATCTCAATTAAAATACCAAAGGTACCTAATACAACACAGGAAATTAAGGACTCGGATTCTGAACAGTTCAGTGCAAGACCAGTCTAAGAATTTCTGAGGACTAAGTTAGAGAGCAGAGCGAAGCACAACTGGCTGCCACAGGACAAAAAAGACCTATATGGTTTAAAACCATGCACAGCTAATCCATGTTTGCAGTTGCAGTGTGAATACCTACACCTTGCCTGTGTAGACATTCCCATCTTTCCAAAACAACTAGCCAGCAAGATGCTACAGATGAAGCTCAGTCAAAACTATAGTTTCAGGTGAGGATTTGTGGAATATGAGTACTTCTTTAAGCCTCTGCTTCTCAGCAGTCACTGACCAAAAGTCTTGTGCCATTGTTCCAAACACCTCAGCTTGTTTCCTGTTTGTTTCAGGATCCATTTTAGTAGTTTCTCCAAAATTCCTGAATTTGTTTCAGCTGATCCTACAACATTTGCCTAGCCTTCACTCCCCGCTTACTTCTCACGTCTAATACAAAACCCCTCCTTTCTCCCCATCATTCTACTCCCTAGAATCTTCTCCTAGTACTACAGCCTGTAAAAGCCGTCTGTGTTTTTCATACCAGCTCTACAGCAGTTTCACATCTCATTTGTTTTACACTGCTCTACAACTATTATTTGCATCTATAACTTGATCCATTCCCTCTCCACGTTTTCCTTTGAGAGCTGAAGATACCAATTGCTGAAGAGAGCTGAACCACAGGCAGTGGGACTCTGTGTGCTCAAAGTACCTTGAGAAAAGCAGCTTGCCTCTAGATGTCAAAAGAAATTACAGCAAAATTGTTATAAGCATCAGCAAGACTAGCACAGAGCAAAGTCAGGGACCTTGAGTATCAAACCACACAGCAGGACCACTGAACCTAAAAATGCCTTCATGCATGAAGAAAAAGCTCCTTTGGGAAATGAATCATTGAAAAGGGGGCCAGGAACACCCACCAGTGAATCAGATGCTGCACTTCTCCCCCTAATGCCATCCAAGTGCCAGCACTGGGGATAATGAGAGAAAGCAGACTGATCTTGGCTGCTACAGGCCAGATACAGAAGTCCCATATGGCTTCTTTGTTTCCACCCCAGCTGCGGCAGAGATCAGAATTAGGCCCAGCTCCTCTCCCAGCAAGCAGCAGTGAGGCACAGAGCACAGAGACAGCCATTTGACTAGCACTGAGCACAACCTCCAGCTCTTTCATCCGGTCCCTCACTGCTGCTTCCCTGCTGGGCTTCATCAGCATCAGCAGAATGTAATAAATGTGCCTGACAAACACAAAATTAAAATTTTGCCATCAAAATCCAATGCTCCAGAACCACCTACAACCTGCTATTAAACACCAGCCTGCTGCCCTCCTTGTCTTGGGTGGCCTAGGCCCCTTCTTGTCCCAAAGGGCTAGAGAGGAAAATATCCCCTTCTCCATCCCTGTCAAAAAGATCAGCCAGCATTAGAGAGAGCAGAACAGATCAGGCAAAGGCTAAAGGCCTTCTCTTGGGACCCTAGAGAAGAGTGATGACAGCACTGACTCTATCCTCTTACTGGCCTTTACAGTCCCACAGAAAGTGCTGTTGGACAGAGGAGAGAGGAAACGTGTGCAGTGGGCCACTCTGGGATCACCAGCCTGTAAGGAAAGTCCCTTCTGAGTCACCTGAGAGTGAAGGTTTGGTTTATTCCCCACGGATGGGCTATCACAGGCACTAGGAGATCAGAGTTTCTTCCAGTACACACTCCCAGCCCTCCCTGAGGTAGGGACCAAATTCTCCTTTGGATTGTGCTGGTGCAGATCCAGTGGACACATTCCAGCTCTGCACCAGGTAAGTGAGCTCAACAGTCCCTGTGCCAAGTCCCTTTTCTTTAAGGAGAACTGCTGCTGCAGATGCCCCTGTGCCCCCTCCTGCAGCAGGGCCTTGCTGTTAGCACATAACCTAAGATGAAGGCAATGAAGTGCCAGAAGAGCAAGCAAAGCACCTGCAGCTGGGTAATTACCAGCCAAGCCTGGGCTCCTGATGATGCTGCACTGAACCCTGCCTCAGCTCAGCCATTGGACCAGTCAGGAGAGGGCAAGGGAGGGGGACAACCAGACAAATGCTCGGATACCACAGCTAAATGTTAATGTCTCATAATGAGGGGCCCTCGGTGCCAGCTTCCGTCAAGGACTTGGTGGTCCCACTTTGACGAAAGCGCTACAAACACGTCACTGCCCTTTCAGGCAGCTGCAGTGAGCCAGGAAGTGCTGGCCTGAGCATCTGGGAGGGAGGGGGAGGCTGAAAGGGGTCACTGAGCGAGGAAATAGGAGGATAATGAGTTACTGCGGCAGTGCTCTAACGGTACCTATCTAGGCATGCCACATGCTGTCAACTTCAGAGCTCAGCTTCCTCACAGCAGCCTGTAGAGATGAGGCAGACATAGCCCCAGAGGAATAGTTTGCCCTGACCCTACTCTTCTAATAAGAAATAAGATCTCTGCTGGTACAGGAGAAATATCTCAGTAAGCTGGGAAATAATTAACTATTGGAGATGAGCCCTGCAACTTGCCATATTTTTAGGACTTGGATTTCCCTTCTCCAAATCATGCTCTTTCATCTCGTAGCTTGCTAATGCCATATTATGATGTTAGGTAACAACACTTTGTTCTTACACAGTGTGTTTCATGACACCCCTGTCCCTCTGATTTGGTACTTCATGGTGACAAAGGAGCCAGGTGAATGTGTAGTGGATATAATCTGCTTCCTGTCTCACTTCATATTTCTCTCACAATTATTTTTCTCTGGATGGAAAGGAAAGGTTTAGCAGTCAACCCAAAGAACAGAGCTAAGCAAATTGACCTATGTAAGTGGCACAATGACACCAGGCTGCAGGGACCTTCAGATTCACAGCAACAGAATGATGCTGCATTGCCCAAGTGTAAAATGCTCCTTTTATTCACCATCAGAAAAGAGAACTACTTCCTCCCTCCTCCTCCTGGGAGAATGAAAATCAGATCAGAACCTCAAACCAATCCTTGCACTGGCAGGAACTCAAAAGGTAGACTTGGGAGGGGTTGGAGGAAGATATAAAGGCTGGTAGCTGGAGACACAGAGCAACACTGAACTGGAGAGACTCAGGAGGAATCAGAGATACCAAAACATGAAGATGAACCTGAAACTTCTTTTTTGCCCTGGATTCCTTCTGCTGCTTATTGTCAGTCAAAACCAGGCAAGGGCCAGGCCCATTTCCAGCTTACAGGTAAGTGGCTGGCTGCTCAATAGAACTGAAAGAAGCTCATGCTTCTTTAGGACTTAGACACTTCAGATTAGCTTTGTTTCTTCCAATCCCAGCTAAAGCAATAGGAGACACTCAGAAATCATGATAGCAAGAATCCTGAGGTGGGCAGAGTTATTAAATGGAGGGAAACTAAAATAATCAATTACTGGATTTAAATTTCTAATCATGAGGCAATTAAAAGGAATTTTTTTTTTCCTGCAGGGTCGATTTGGAGATTGCAGATTTAGGGTCATCCTGTAACTGAGTGAAGCAATAAACTTTCAGAGCAAAAGGAATTTTTCTGGAAGGATTCCTATCTAGAGTCCCAGAGCCCCTTCAGGGTTCCTTCCTGAAGCCCCTGGTTTAAGCTGAGAAAGGAATTAATGGGTTGTACCCACATGATCTCCTGCTCAGCTCAGTACTGCAGTAATGCAGTCCCTGCCTGCAAGTCCCAGAGGCAGAACATAAGAAAAAGAGAAAGTGTGTGTGTGTGTGTGTGTGTGTGTGTGTACGTGTGTATTTGTGTGCACAGGAATTTCAAGTCATTGGGAAAACACATTTCAGCTATCTAACTAGGGATCTAGTATTCCCAAATATTAAATGACCTCCTAGTCTGTAAAGAAATTTATAATTCTTCTAGCATCAATTTCAGCATGCTACCTGTCATTGCATGGCTTCTCTTATTATTCCAAGGTATCAATCATTTTTGTCTTGTTCCTTATTCACTCTTCACCAAGCCTCTTCCATCATCTTTCACAATTTATCCCACACCCTAGATCCCCAGCGCCAGGAAAGACTTAACTGGCAGTATGTCAACTCAGAACTATAGAATATAATAACAGCATAGAGCCTCAGAGAATTTTGAGAGAGCACACAGTGTCAGCTCAGAGCAGCTTGGTGAGCCAGGAGAAACCAAAGACAACCATCATCAGCTTCAGAAATTACTTCAGTACTTTCAGCTTTTTGTTTGAAATAAGCATCTCCAAACCTGGCACTGAGCATGGCTTATACAAAAACAATAACTGAGTTCCCAGAACCCCTCCTTTTTCTCCTCTCCTCTCTCTCCACCATCTACCTTTCCCTTTTTTCAGAGTCTGTCCAAACTGCTGGAAGAGGACCTGGAGCTTCCCCTGGTCTCAGAGGAGAGGGACCATGAGCAAGATGAAATAATCCCAACAGGTGCCTTTGATCAGCAAGATGCTGAATTCCAGTGGACCCGGAATACCAGGGACCAGCCCGAGAGCATGTCCATGGATGATAGTGCTGTCCAGAGGTTCTTCAGCGACCTCCTAAGTTTACCCCGTAGATACCGAGGTAGAAGCAAAAAGGGCCTCTCCAGGAGCTGTTTTGGTGTCAAGCTGGACAGAATTGGGTCACTGAGTGGACTGGGATGCTAGCTGCTTAATATGGTAAGAGAAAGTCAGAGGCAGATGGTCTGTGTGTTCGTGTATAACTTACATAAGTATGCAGAAGATCAGATTTAATTTAGCTTTAAGGAAACAGTGACTTAAAGTAACTTTTACCCTCCTATAGCAAACACAGTTTACTAATTTTACCCTCTTCAGAATTCACTGCCATCAGATATGTACTTAAAACCTGTGAATGCCACATCTCTGCTTTACCTGCTTTCACTCCTCTCTCCAAGTCAGCTGTATGCATTTCATCTTGACACAGAAGCCAGATCAGAGAGGTTTTCACCAGCTCCCCAGGGATGCTTGTGTCAATCCAAAGAAACTCTGAGCAGAACAGTGGAGCTGAACCTGGCCCTAGAACAGTAAGAAATCAGTTAATTTCCATGCATTAAATCCTGTCCACTTCTCCTTCTTTTACTTATTCCTCTGCTTTCTTGACAGGACTGACTTTGAGGTTTCAATGGACCTGTTGCCTTTCAATGAGATATTCAGCCCTTATTCATATTGGCTCCACCAATCCATCTACTACTACCTGATGTACTGAGCAAATTGCACCCTACCTCTCCCCTGAATTACTTGGCCAATAGAATATACCATTGCTGTACTGCCTATTTGTATCAGAGTAATAATCTGTGAACATCTATCTGAAATTTAATTACAAAAACATTTGTACTGTTTGTGTATTAAATGTATAAATAAACAAGTCTCATTATGTCACATATAATAAACTGTTTCCATAATTTGGTGAATTTGCTTTAAGCCTTTGCTGTGATTCTTTCATGAATCATTCATTTCAGTTTCATTCCTGAAACAGTGCCCAAGTTTGCCCCAGACACAATCCACTAGAATTCAGCATTTCAGAGGGCTGCTTTCTGGTAAAAAGGACTTTTTAGCTGCATTTTTTTTTTTTAAAGACACACAATCAATCAAACAAGCCATTCTTTTTACCAAAAGAACCTGAAATTTAGATATCCCTACCTAAACATAAATGTAACAGGAACAAGGCTGACATAGCCATCTTCACAAAAGTCATCAGAAACCAGGACACAAAGCCCCAAGTCTTTGACCACCACAATTTGAACTAAAAGGGTAGCTCTCTTATCTGACATCGGTAGAAAACTGTTACCCTGCATTTGGATCTGCCACTGACAGAGGAAAACAATTGTTTTTCACTAGTATATCTCTTGTCAAAAAAAAATTGCTGCTACTCTGAAGAAAGTTCAAGGGCACCTACTCTTCCATAGGCAGGTCCAGATAGCACAAAGTATTTTTTCAACATAAAAGCAAAATCAAGATTATATAAAAAAATGTATCTGACCAGTTCTATTTTTTAAGCAAATCAAGTATTCACTGAATCTAACTATGAACAAATCAGAGAACAGCTACTTGGCAAACATCCTGAGCCAAAGGAACTCTGTATGAAGGCTGGTTTGCCAAGATGATGACTGGGCTATCCTGTCACTGATGAGAGCTGAACTCTGCAAGCAGCTCCATGGAAATCTGTAACATCACTCACACAAATGTCCACACCGACAGCCACAAATGAAGGCACAGCCGTTCATTTCCAGCCTTTTGCTCGGGGTGGACAGATGGGCTACACAGTTGTACTCTTCCCATTTTCTTGTCCACAAGACAAATGCTCCTGGAAGAAAGAATTCTGGTAATAAACCTATTCCTCACAGGACCCCTAGATATAAACTGCAACATGGAGCACAAACATCTGTGCAAAGCAAGTTCATCAGCAACCCTCTAGCTGCGTGTGCTCTGAACCTCTGGCAGCTCAGCTCTCATTAGAAAGCCTCTTTGCACAGAGCAGTTAGAGGTCCACTCTCTGGGCCTGCCTCAATTACTTAAACAAACTATGATTTAATTCTGCTCCTTCTAACCACAATTCCCATAGAATGAAGGTGATCCAGGACACATTCAAGAGCTATACAGAGCCAAATTAGAGAAAACTTTGTTCTTCTCTCATGCTATTTTCGATATATAGCTTCTACTCTGAAGCCACAGACTTGCTTTAGGAAGGACATCAGTACGATAAGCCCATAAACATACATTTCAACACTTCAGAACTGATCATCAGAGACCAGAAAGCACAGAATGATTTGTTATTGGAAACACTCTCCCCTTGCAAAGGCTACCAACAGCTTCTCTCTCTATTGTCTTGCCATCTTTTACCCTTTCAATATCTCCTGCACATTTAGAAATTACCATTAATTCTACCTGTCTATGGCTATTCCATCCTCCAGAATCTTTCTCTCCTCAGACCAGTAGTTGCGAGGCTATCAACACAAATCCTGAGCAGAAAATTCAACAACATATCCTGAAGGCTTCCGTAGTTTAACAGTCTTTATTAGGTCTTATGCTGTTTGCTACTTACTCTTTTTAAATTAACTTTGATAACAAAGCAGCAGCAACAGTGAAAATGCCCTAAACAGACACTTCCTGGCAAGGAATTGTCTCATCACTTACACAGGCACCCCTGAATACAAGACCTCGAAGAGCAGATTAGTCCATGTAATTAATTTATTATACTCTGTGTGGCCTTTCCTAAGCAAAACAACAAGAAAATGGAGCATTTCACCAGTCAGAGGAAGAATTAAAGTTGACAATGGAGGATGAAAGAATAAATAAGTTTTCAGCATAATTCACGTATCAATAGACAGGCTACAAATGTCTTAAAACTAATGCTGCTGTCTGAGCAGTGTAAACAGCTTTTCTAGATAGAGAAAAGCCCCATAGACTGCACCATACTTTACAGGCAGATTCTCCTGGAGATCTGCAGCCATGTTAGGCCATACAAATAACACTCTCCCTCACTGCAGCTTCCATCATACAAGGACAGCTGCCCCACACAAGCATGAGCAAAGAGATTTTTGATTCATTATTCTAACTTAACACATCTTCATACAGCCAGGGAGAGATTTTCACTTCTTTCCCTCCAATGCACATATATTTACTTACACTAAGAAGACAAACTTACCTATTTCCTAACCTGCCAGGAAGCAGCTTCCTTAAATAGAGTCCCTCTTGAGGTATGCTAGCCTCGGGGCTGGCCCAGGTGCAACCTATGTGTGGAAAGGTTAATCCACACAGCCCTGGGACATTATGGTGTCAAACAATGAAGAGCTGGTATCTTGTGACAGTTGGTGCTAATGGGGAGATTACAGCCTCCTTCCTAATAATCCTGGGTCTGATAGCTTGCTCCTAGCTCTCAGTAACCCCACGAGCAGGCACATTCTCACAGGTATAAAAGCTTCCTGATGCTGAAATTTCAACACTGAATACACTGAAAATCCAATGAAGGCTAAGTGCTACTGGAGTTTGTTTCCTGACCATTCTCAGCCTGTTTCCAAATTCAGCTACACTAACATAAACTGTGGGTCATTTAAATTATCTGCAGATAAAATAACAGAGGTTAGAGGAGGTTGAAGACTGAGCTGTGAGCACTTGTGAATAGAATCCTACAGCAGATGAATAAGAAATGGATAAGAGCTCCAATTCTACAGAGGCTGAACTAGTAATGTGCCATCCCATCACCTGGCATTTTGTGTGAACATTTTAAAAAGCCACTTTCCAGAAAGCAGGAACAATTTACTTCACATAAAAGGCTCCCTAATTAGATCCCTAGGACTGAAGCCAGGTGTGTTTGTACTTTAGGTAATTTGTTGAGTTCTATTAGCATTTAAATAATCAAAGCTAACCTTTGAAGTTAGCAGGCCAGTCAGATGGGGGAAGCTCATCTCTAGCTGTGTCATTTCCATCTCCACTAAGCAGCAGTGCATGAATTTACAGACTAGGATTACTGAAGTTGCTGAGGAAAAAAACCTGCAATAAAATTACTCCTACACAGAAAGAAGCATACAGATATCTTTCTCAAATGTGTCTGCTTTTGGGGTACCTGTTTATGAGAGATGTTAGGCAGCAATCAAGATTTGGTCTCATCCAAGACTCGAGTTTGCCTAGTTTATTTTTAGAGGGCTAAATTGTATTTATTTCCCTTGGTCATCACATAGATCCTACACACTCCCACTGCTTTATCCCCTTTCCACTCCTGTCTGTCTTTACTACACACAAAATTGAGGATGATGCACATCCTCACCTTAGCTATCTGCTCTTTCTCTGTATCAATAACACTCCCACCTGATGCGAGCTTCCTTCACTCACGTACTGTACCTTCAAAACACACACCTCATTTCTCTGCCAGAGTCTTCTTTGCTGTGATGCTTTAAACAAAACCACTTGCCAACTGTTAAGACTGCTGGATACAGAGATCCTTGTCCCACACCAGCTGATATCTCTAGTTCACTTCCAATCTACGATAAATTATGTCAGCTGTAGGTAGATTTGTGGAACAGAAGGACAAGAAAATGGGGGAAGGAGATGTAAAAGCATAATGTATGTTGTTGCTTGTTCATATAGCACCTAGCAATAATAAGTCCACAACAGCTTGGTTCAAAAGCCTCTGAACTCAGAGGAAAGACTTTGGCTTTGCTGAGCTTTAGGAGAGTCTGTGAAATAGAGGCCCAAGCAGAAACCACCACATATCAGGTGAAATCGGAGAAATGTGAGTGTACTGGCTAAGAAAATGAGAAGGGCAGAAGGCAGAGACTTAGTGTAACTGCTTTAATATTACCCAGGCAGTGACTGAAAAGACCTTGTCTGCTTTTATACCCACAGGATATCATAGGTTCTGCCTTTCATTCTGTAAGGATCTAACAGGGTCATCTTGATTTGCACCCCAGGACCAGTGGAAATTGTACTCATTTATAGTTGAAATTTGCCACTCACACAGGAGAGACGCCAAAAGTTTTAATGAAAGTTAATAAGAAACTGCTGCAAAGCTCTGAGGCAAAATAAGATAAAGTTTCATACAAACAGGCTGCCTGTTATGGTCAACAAAGTGGTAATTCAGACACTTTTATGTGGGGAGCCTAAATCCAAAGATCTACAAAATCTCTTTCTTTGGGCAAGGCCCCTGGGCT